TTTTTTTGTCGCAGAAAGTGGCGTTGCGGACCTTAAAACTCCGGTTTTGTCCGTCCACACGCAGACACCCAAAACGGAGAAAACGCAGATCTTCACTTTGGCCGGAGATTTTAAAAAGATACGTTTTCGTGTGAAAAAACTCCGTTTTCGTGTGGATGACAGGCCAAAACGTAGAAAAATATCTACGTTTTGGCAGATCCCCGGCTACGTGTGGACAGGGCCTTAGACCATCGTGTTGTGCCAAGAGGCTGCGGGTCTCTGTGCAGTTTTACAGGCTCCACTTAAAAAAAAGGAAAGTTGTCAACTTACGGTTAATGCGACGGCCTAGAACACCAGGCTTACTAGCACAAGCACCAGAAAGATGCACTGGTGGTGCCGACTTGGGGTGAAGACAGCTTCTGATGCTCTCCAACACAATAAGTTACGTTTGACTGTAAAACAGCCAGTTTACGACTTGGTTAAAGGTTTTTTCTCCTTGATACTGTTCTCCTTTGTTGGGTTTACCAGATGGGTTTAACATTCCACAGAGACTCAAATATGTGAACTTTAAGAGAAATTAGGAATTTCAAGTAATCCCCTGAAGTAACCTCTTATAATCACACACACACACACACACACACACACACACACACACACACACACACACACGTGAGTTTGCCCTCACACCTGCATGCATTCATGCCCCAGCCTCACATTCCTCATCATGTCAGGCTTTTCACCAGAATCACAAATGCACAGACACCTTGTCATGGAGTTTATCATTGCAAACTTGTTTTTTTAAGATGCTTCAAAAGCTTGACTCAGGTTTCCATTCATGTCCATCCCTCTGCCCAGCACACAGTCAGGAATGGGACAACTTTTGAAACTGGGTTGATTTGGCCCCAAATCATGATCACATCCATCCATCCATCCATCAAAGTGGCAGTCCAACCTCCATGATGCAGATGAATCCATACATGCTCTCTGAACGTGACACCCCTCTGTGTGAACTCTAACATTACTAAGCTGCGTTTTTGTTTCTATGTTCATTTATAGACCAACACATGCACAATCACGCCCTGTATATGTCTGCCTTTACATGTGTGATGGATTCTGCAGCGCTGTGCTCTCTGCTTCTGATTATGAGCTGTGTGTTTGTTTTTGTTTGTGTGGAATGGCTGGCTTTGCTATCTATAAGTCTGCGTGTTGGTTTTCATATGAGCATCAGTAACGCTGACACACCCCTGGCACAAATGCACACTTCCATTTAGTTAGTGCATGGAAGAGGAATGGGGAAACGGTCTCCTTTCTAGTTATTTTTGCTTGTTTTCATGAAAACATATTTTATTTTAAGGTACAAAAACTGGATTATCAATTCATTTCACTTCATTGTTTTATTTAAAGCCATACTCTCTGCAACTGTTTAAATATTTTTAAATCATTTTCTTGAGCTACGACCCTTTACAAGGTTAATGAAATGTCACTCAGACCTCCACCGATCCCTGTGGCCAGAATACCGCTTTTGCAACTTCAGACTGGCAGGCTGCTCTGTTGGGACTGACTTTAGTGATCACTCCTTTAGACATTAATGAAGGCTGGGGAGACATTTCAGCTGTTAGATTACGGTGAAAAAAACGCAAACGTGCAGCAAGGAGATAAATTTTGCTTTCGTTTGCTTAATAACAGACACCAGGGGGTCCTAAAATCTACCAAAACTGCCAAGTGTGCCTTTAACGTTGCTCACATTACAATTACTGGACTTCTAGTTGCTCAGAACCACCTGAACTGGACTTTAAATCGATTATGTACTTCTAAAATATCACATAACCAATGAAAAACTCTACAAAAATCCACCTATTGATTACATAAATCGGATTCCCATTTCACTCACATCAGGGTGGCTGTTTCTCTTCACCCCTTTTGGCTATATATGTGTTCAACCAGAGGTTGGCATGAAAGAGTTCTGTCAGTTTGAAACACAACATCAAAAACACAAAGCTGAAAACCAGTTTGGATCCAATTATTATTGTCAGAACTCTTTCATAATGGTAACATGTGTGGTTTAGACCACGTCAGATATGGAGATTTAGCACGAGGAGAGCTGGCACGTCTTGTGTAGCCTGTCTAGTATTTAAACTTCTCTAAAAGCCAGTTCTTCTTATTCTAACTCTTCACAATGATTTGTGTCACTGTGGCTCGAAGCTCTCATACTGCCTTCTTGTTCTGTTCTTGTAGATAAGTACTGTGTTGAGGGGTGTAGCGGGCGAGGGGAGAGAGAGCAAAACAAAATGGCTTTTAAACATCTCCCCTTTTCCAGGTATACAACAACTGTGTGAATGTCTCTCCAAGGACACAACACAGAGCGAGCTGCTTAAAAAGTGTGCGCTGACTGACTGCCATGTCTTTCTTCTCGCTCACCCCTCCCCACCCATCTGTCTCTCCAATTTACTTCTCTCTCATCTGCCTCCACATGTTTCAATCTGCCTGATCTCGTCTGTCTCTCATCCTCTCCTTGTCTCTGCATGTCTGCTTTTTGTCTGTTTTTATTATTATTATTATTATTATTCTTTTGGGCTGGTTTTAATCTCCTAATTGAATTTGCATACACACAAATAAACATATTAATAATGTTCACGTTTCTCTCTGCATCATATTTTCCATCCTTTTGTCCCAATTTAAAATGATTGTGTCCACACACACTCATTAGACACAAGCAGACGGCCCTTCTGCCATGCAAGCTGCAGATCAGTGCACCCACAGCCCCAACGAACACCCTCTTACTCTGGGGAGTCAAACCCAGAACCAAAGCACCAACATTACCAACACCACTGGCTCCAGCGCCACCCGTTACCAGCCCCCGGCGTGCTGCGACATTCCCTGCGCCCTGATTGTGCAGCACTCCTACGAATCCAACAACCCCTCCGAAATCACCCCGAAAATGAGAATGACCACCTTCACTACTTCTCCTCCTACACCAAGGTTATACATACAATAGAAGTTAGTAAAGCCTGAAAAAGACACCGCACTAGTGGTGTTTAACGAGGGGAATCGATGGACATCAGGGAGTCGCTGTAAAACCTTTGGGCCCACAATGTAAAAAGGCTGGAAACAAAAGTACCTCTTTTTTTTAAAAACGTGTCTTTACTTGACATATTGCCAGTGGAATATGTCTGCATTTGTGCCCCACTGCCTCCAGAGGGCGCTGTGCGTCCATGTAGAGGAATGTGCAGCATCATCCCTCAGTAAGCAGTTGATGGCACCTGGAAGTTTTTAGGAAATCTCTCATTGAGATGAGATTTGTTTTGATTACAAGGACTTTAAACAAAGCATTTGCATTAAGTAGTGTTCAAATTTGTTTTCATATGTGATCTGATGGCGAGCCTGATAAAATGAGGGAAAATGTCACCTTCTTCCTTTTACCGTCGTCTTTGCTCGCTCCTTCCAGCCACCGTGCATACGCCGCACAATGACTATTTGTGACTCACTCCTTTTTTTTCCACCTCCATTCATTTGCATTGATACTAACTCTACCCACTTTGACACGTGTGTCCAACCTCTCGACACACCAACTTTAAGGAAAAAAACATTAGTGCCCCCTTCCTCCCCCCTCGTCCTTTCCTTTCTCCCACTGCCCCTCTTTTAGATGGGGGCACCACTGCTGGTCACTTCTGCTCGTGAGGTGTAAACAGTAGGGCCAGAGAGCCGTCCAGAACCCCCACAAAGGATACGGTCAGTAAATCTGCCTTTACCTCCAGCGATGTGACTCCCTTCCTCACCTAAACCCCTCCTCTGCGATAATCACCACAAAATCCTAAACACCGACGTCCACCACACCCTCTCCTGTGCACCATCCCTTCTTCTGAGACTCTTCAGAAAAAGTTTCTCCTAAAACCCAGAAGCACACTGCAACGCGTATGGTGACTGTGTACATGTGAAAGTACCGTAACTTCTCCTACTGATCCCATTTCCTCTTTAATATTTAAGCTGCTGTCATCCATTGCAATCTGAAATTCCCCGGCACTCACATCCACCCCTGCTAGCAGCAAAAGCATGAAACACCTCTCACTAAGTGTTACAATTTTTTAGTAGATAAGTTATTTATATGTAAAGACAATGTTTTTTGGTACATTTCTATAAGTTTCATTTATCCTATACTGTAAGTTTAGCAAAAAATTAAGTTTACTGTGCTTTAAAATGCTACGATTGGTAGAAATTATAAAGTATATTAAAATTTCTGCTCTGCGTAATGCAATCAATAAGCTAGAAAGTCTGCAATGAGGATTTATGACCCAAACTCACTTGACTAATGGTGACTAGGTGGCCATAATCCAATGCAGTGATAAGATTTGGTAAAAGTTTCATTAGTAGTATAATGTTGGATAGTTATGGTAAAGCTACAATTGGGATCACGGAGAACACTGCATGTCAGAAGTGTGTTTTCTCTGGATTCCTGATTATCTGCACTCCCTTAGAGACACTGTAGAAGTGTGTGTATGTTTCTTTTCCTGACCACAGCTCAGAGTGTGCTTCTCTATCCCTCTCCCCATTTCCCCCTCTCCTTATTTCCGGTCATTTCCATAATTTTCATGGCGACTCAATACTCTTTTTTTTTGTGTCATTTGCATTTTCACACTACTTGAATTAATCTTTTTTTTTTTGTACCACACGTGTGGTTTCACCGCGTTTGTATGCTGTCTTGCCTTATCTACATGCCATAATCTATGCTATCCTTTTTACTGAATGGATGGATGACATCCGTGTTTCTACAAATGTATTGCTCTATTTTCGTCATGGTGGTCCCTACCTCCTAACTCTTCTATATGCACCACCCTCACACCTTGCTCCTTTTATCCTTCTGTTTCGTCTATCCCATCCCGCTGCACCAATCTTCATTTCTTTCTTTCCTTCCACACCAAATATTCTTCCATCGCTTTTATTCCTACTCTTTAATATCTCCTCTTTTCGTCCATTTGTCATTGCCACATTCGTTCTCCTCCTTCCTTGCCCTTCCCCACTTGCAGGACGATAAGGAGATCGACCTGGAGCACCTACACCGCCGGGTTAACAGCTTGTGCACCGAGGATGAGAGCCCCCACAAGCAATTCTCCACCTCTTCCGTCGATTTAACCCCCCTGGATATGGATGCACTGCCTGCTGCCCGCCAGGCCCTGGAGCAGATCAGCGATTTCCGCAACACCCACATCACCACCACCACCTTCATCCCCGAGCAGATCCAGACCCTAAGCCGTAGCCTCTCTGCCAAAGCCGCCGCTGGGTTTTCTTCAGGTTTCGGTGGTGGCAGCGGTCTGCAGGACCACCGAACTGGTGGGGTTGGTCCCTTCAGACAAAGGGCCCCCAATGGTGGATTCTTCCGCAGCCCCATCAAAACAATGTCCTCCATCCCCTACCAGCCAACAGGTCCAGGACCCAACTTTGGATATGGCAATGATCCAGACAGGGGCACCTCCATATGAGGTGTTGCTATGGATGTAGGTGGTTCAGGAAGTAGGAATAGTTGGATCAGAATGGGGGGAGGAGGGCGTACAAGTCATGTGATGGTTGAACAAATAGGATAAAAATCTATGTAAAGAGGATTTTCTTCTGTTCTTAGTTTCTGCCTGGGTGTCCATCGGGGGTTATTTTGTATGTGAAGAAAACAAAGGAGGTGGAGGTCTGTTGGGGCACTCTTCATCCTCCTGCAAAGCGTACTGGTGAGGAGCAGGAAGGGAAGTCACTGGGAGGGATGGCGGGTGGGATAGGGTGTAATCTCTGCTTTATTGTTGTTGTTCTTGTGATTGTTTGGGAAATTATTTTGGGAGTTAGTCTAAAAGAAGACCCTTTTTACATTGATGTTTTATGAGGACTATCACGTTTAGTGAAAAATGGCTGAAACGACCTGATTTCCTTCTACTGTTTGAGCAGTTCTGGTTGAATGAGCCCAACACCAGAAAAGACGTTATCCATATCAGCTACAGACCTGTCGTCAGTGAAGGATTAGTTGTGACTTTAGCCATGAAACCACTTCCAGGGACTCGGAACTACAAGCAATGACCAGACAGTAATATAACGAAGGCAAATGTTGCCTTTAGTTCTGCTTCTTGCAACACAAAGGGTTCTGAAAAGGTCATGGATATTGAAGATTATGTTTCTCCAATATAACTTCGCCTTTTCACTCTTTGGGAGTATATGTTCCTTTATTTTTTGTCTTCTAGTGTTTTGTTTTTGTCTTTTTTTTCTGTACTTTGGGTTTAAATGTGTGATCATCTCCAAGATGATGCCCACACAGTGACCTGACCAGACTTAAGACTTTGCAGCTAAGCCCACAGTGATGCGCTGGTCCGAAAACTGCTGAAATGCCATGACAGTGGAAGAAAACGTCACTGTAAAATCACCAGTTTGGTGCATCAGTCTTAAACTACTTCTGCCATTTTGGTGCATCGGCCTGAAACTGTTTTCACCACTTTGATGCACATTAAACTCTGTTGATCCCTCTGCACTGTACCAGTGCCCACAGACCTGTAAGTGATTGTACGTAGCTCTTACCTTTTCTTTTCTCACTTGTATTGTGCTCTCTGCTTTTCGAGTCAAGGTGAGATCCTCCAGCCAGACTCCCAGAAGTGTGGTAAACGTGGACATTTAAAAAAAAGCAGCTGAAAGATTTACAAAACATAAAAGACAAGCTGAAAGACTTCACGGAGCTCATGCTTGTTCATGTCTTTTATTGGGTTTTGTTCTGAGAAAAAAAATTTAATCCGCGGAATGTGTTTTGGTCAGGAAGTACAAAAATAACATTGTTCTGAGCTGTCTAGTTGTTCTTTTTCTTTAAATATTATTTACAGAAAACTGAAAAAAACTGCTAAACAAGTGATGTAGTCTCTGGTTTTGCATCATCTAGTTATAACATTTGATTTCCTCTCTGTTTCTCTTACTTTTAGTGCTCCCACGCCCACGTTGTTTATAGGAAACAAGCTCATTCTGGAATCTCACATGACATTCAAGTTCATTAATCGTTTCTTATCGGGTGAAATTAGATAGAATTGGTGTTGAGGAAAAGCCATTGCAGGAACATTTTCAGTTTGAGCCCTAAATCAGCTGACTGTACCCTCCCAACTTAACCCGAAACATGTCCGTGTGCTGGGGTTAAGGCAATGCTTTAAAGAGATAGTGGTCATTAAAATCCAACAGGTCCAAGATACACCTCTAATTCCTATCTCTCTTGTTAAAGGTACTATTTATGTAACTTTTTAAAGTGCCGATGAATTAAAATCAAACCATTAAGGTGCATTTTTGGTTAAGGAATGGTGGTGGTACTCTCTGAGGGGGTTGGTATAATAGTCAAGGTTTTTTTTTTTGTTCCACTAACACTGTATTAATAATTGATAATGTCAATTGTTTAGAACAAGTTTTCAGTTTGCTATTTTGAAGCTAAAACTGCAAATTGTTCCGTGTGTAGAGAATTCAGTCGAGCCACAGTGTTTTGAAGCAAACGTTTTTAGGGTTTCTTTCATTATAATAGGTTACAGTCAGGCTACTGAATGGTAAATAGGACACATGCATTTAAAAAGTTATTTAGTATAAATAAAGAGACATTATAAAAATGTATATTTTACATGTTGATGCTATTTTTGTTTAACAAAAAGAGAAGACTATATCATGTTGAGCTTTAGTCTGGGATTGAGGAGTCACGTCAACGCCTTTGGTTTTCTCCCCATCCCGCCCATGGTAAACACATTTACACTAATCGTTTGCTTTATTTTTTAAGTCATTCTGAGTTTTTTTATTATGTTTTATTCTTTTATTTTGGCTAAATAACAAAATCTGGCAAGTTCACGAAAAAGAAAGCATGCACAAACTTGCTGTCTAGCTATCTGTTAACATTTTTAATTTCTTACATAGAACTACAAGATTTACTTAATAATTTTCAAAGGTTTATGATGTACAGTATTTAATATAGGCCTATTTTGTTGTATGTGTTGCATAATATTCAAAAACCGAACAAACTTGGGCCTCTGTTACAAGTGGCAAAGCTTTCTGTGTATAATTTGTCTAATAAACAGGTTTTCTACAGTGGGATGGTATTTGCTGTCTTTGCTAATCCAGACAACCATTCAATGAAGAAGATACATTTATTATAGGGTGCCTATAGGGGCGACGGTGGCACAGGAGCTAAGTGTTCGCCCCGTAATCGGAAGATTGCAGGTTCAAGCCCAGCTCAGTCTGTCGCTGTCGTTGTGTCCTTGGGCAAGACACTTAACCCACATTGCCTGCTGGTGGTGGTCGGAGGGACCGGTGGCGCCAGTGCTTGGCAGCCTCACCTCTGTCAGTGTGCCCCAGGGCAGCTGTGGCTACATTGTAGTTCATCACCATCAGTGTGTGAATGTGTGTGTGAATGGGTGAATGACTGATTGTGTTGTAAAGCGCCTTGGGGGGTTCCAGGACTCTAGAAGGTGCTATATCAAATACAGGCCATTTACCATTTACCAGTTATAGAGACATAAAGTGTCGCATCAAAATCATAACCATTTCATAATTTCTATTTAAACACAGTTTAGTTAACAAAAAATTGTATTTGTACAGAACTGTAGCGTTTTACATGAAATATTTTTATGTTAAGTGTTTTTAGCCTGGCAAGCCAGACTAAATAAATGTATTATTTAGTCTGGCCACACTCCATTGACGGCTCTCGGTTGTGGGGCGGGCTCTACCGTTGTCTTTCAAATGATCTCCGCATTCCACCGGACAATGAATGTGACATACTCTTGTTTCACTCTGTTGCATCATCCCACCCACCAGGCATATAGAGTGCCCTGATTGGCCCACAAAGCGGATAAAGCTCTGTGATTTGCTCACTAAGCAGATAGAGCACTATGATTGGCCCACCATTATGGACCAATCACAGCTCTTTATGTGTTTGAAACCCCTCTAGAGAGCTGTGATTGGCTAGCCAGAGTCCTGGTAGGAGCTGTGGAGGTTCCAATGGAGCATGCCTAGACCATTCTTTGCAAAGCAAGAATTTGGTCTAGTTCACTAGGCTAAAGTGTTTTCAGTTGCGTTGAAGAGGACGTATCATGCAAAACTCACATTTTGTATCCTTTTAGTTCTTTTTAAAAGTCACGCCTTGCCGGCAAGTCAGCATAATACTGCCACCACAGTGTGTTTTATGAACGCGGCATGGCATTACAGGAATTTTATGGCGTTTGTGCCACAAACAAAGCCAGAGAAGAGCCAGATGAGGTGGCTCAGGCATCTGATCTCCTGGACACCTCCCTGGTGAGGTTTTCTGAGCACACCCAACCGGAAGGAGACCTAAAGAAACACCCAGGAGACGCTGGAGGGACTATGTCTCTCGGCTGGCCAGGGAACATCTTAAGAACACCCGGGAAGAGATGGCCCAAGAGGCTGGGGAGAGGAAAGTCAGGGCCTCTTGACTTAGACTGTTGCCCCCGCGACCTGACTCCAGATAAGCAGAAGAAAATGGATGGATGGATCGTGCTGCAAATGCTTGGTCGTAATATTGCCGCAACGCCAGACTTGTGAATGCATATAATGCCTTGGCGCAACAGAGAGTGGTGTCATGATCACGTGGGGAGTTACTGCCGAGCTCCAGACGGCAACTATATTGAAAATGAAAGTAAATACGGGCATTAAGTTTTGCTTTTGTAAACAGAACCAGCTAAGATGATAAACTGGACCGATACAGAGCTCCGGGAGCTTCTCTCCATTAGAGCTGATGGTCAAATCACCAGACTGCTCAGGGACTGTGAAGGACAGACACCTTTAGGAGCGGCTTGTTAAAAAAACAATGAGCGTGGCTTCGATCACAATAAAAAGCAAGTTATGTCCAAGTTAAACAGAAGTCTGCTGCAGCGCAGAGACCGCTCCATACCCCCTTTATACCACCATTACATAATCTTTTGTAAAAACATGATTGCTCAATATTACTGCCACGATCTGACCATTTAGAAACTACATAAGGCTCCCAGGTGCCGGCTCGGAGTTGCGAAGTAATTGGTGGCATTGTTTTCTAAAAGAGGCTTCTGTGTTGACATGTGCGTCTCTAACGCCTCTGTTAAACGTAACCAAACCTGTCCATCCATTTAGTAAGTAAGTCAATTTTATGTATATAGCACTTATCACAGACAGAATCACAAAGTGCTTCACATAGATCAAAATAAAAATGTCATAAAATCAAAATGCTCTCAAAACAGAATCAGATTAACATCAGAGAAAATAAAGTCATAAAATTATAAATTTTCATAAACAGATGAAAGATTAAAATTTTGAGTTAAAAATAAGAAAATAAAAGGTTTTAGTTAAAAGCAGTTTTAAATAAAAGGGTCTTTAGCTGTTTTTTAAAAGTATCCAGACTGTCAATGCTACGTAAGGACAAAGGGAGATCATTCCAGAGCCGGGGTGCAACAGTCTGGAAGAAGTGATCACCTCACTTTTGTATCTGGTCTTTGGAACTTCTAGAAGGTTCTGGTGGGTGGACCCAGCCGGATTATATAAATGGACTACACTAGACAGGCTGCACGTGCCTGGTTTGCCTTTGCGTTAATCCGGCTCTGGGTGGACCTGAGGGCTCGGGTTGGAGCATAAGGCTTTAACAGTTCAGTAATATAGGGAGGAGCTTGACCTTGCAGAGCATTGAAAGTTAGTCAGGATTCTAAAATGAACTCTAAAGTTAACGGGTAACCAGTGCAGAGACATCAGAATAGGAGTGATGTGAGCTCTTCGGTTTGCTCCAGTTAGGAGCCCCGCTGCAGAGTTCTGGACCAAATGAAGGCAGCCAAGGGCTTTTTTGTTAAAACAAGTGAAAAGTGTGTTACAGTAATCTAGACGGGAGGAGATAAAGGCATGGATAACTATTTCAAGTTCAGTATTAGTGTGCGGTTTTAGGAAATATGTACCTAAAACAAACCGTTTCATAAGTCCCGGTTTGAGACATCAAAAATGTGGAAATTAGACTAGAACCACCTCTCACTTTCAAGAGAGAGCTTCTAGTAGAGGAATAATCTGAGCCCCTCCCAGATATTGGAGCTTCAATCCAATCCAATCCAATTTTATTTATAAAGCGCATTCACAAGGCATTACAACCAAACAAGGCGCTGTACACTAAAGATGTTAGTTAATCAAACCGGCGGTATACAAACATGTCGAACACAGATAAAAGATAAAAAGGAAATACAACAAAATTCCCAAAAATAACAGCTAAAAATCAATAAGACACAGGCTGAAAAAAAATTAGAAAAACATTTTAAAAAAGAACCTCAATAGTATGGAAGTTGATATTGTAAAGTCCATTTTTAAACAATGCAGATGTAAGTGATGGTCATAATTATGTGGTATAAGCTAGGTTGAAGTAGTAAGTTTTCAAGCGTGATTTAAAAATGCTAGCTTCTCAGTTTAGCGACTTGAATGAGGTGGGTGGGCGTAGCCAGCTTCTGCTTTTTTTCTTAAGGTGACAGAGCCCTAAAATGACTCATTCTGAAAGGTACTGAAAATGTCAAGAATAAAACTTATAAAATCACTTTATGTGAGAGGGGTTTTGTGCAGAGAACTCCATCATCATGTTTGGTATGGACCATAAAACACAGCTCAGTAAAATAAAGGGAACACTTAAACAACACAATGTAACTTCAAGTCAATCACACTTAAGTGAAATCAAACTGTCCACTGATTGAAAACATCACATGCTGTTGTGTAAATGGAATATACAGGTGGAAATTATAGGCAGTTAGCAAGGCATCCCCAATAAAGGAGTGGTTTTGCAGGCGGTGACCACAGACCACTTCCCAGTTCCTATGCCTTCTGGCTGATGTTTTGGTCACTTTTGAATGTTGCCGAACAGGGTACGAATTTCCCAGAAGCTCAAAGGGGAGCCTAGTGAGACGGGGACGGGGGGGGGGGGGGGGGGGGGGGGGGGGGGGCTTAATTCTTGCCTCAGCCCCCAAAATGCCTCAAAACGGCACTGAGTGAGGGACCGAGTTTTGAAGGTGATCTGAATTGTATCAAATATATAAATATTAGATGCTTATAAAGTATTGCTTTAGAGCAGCCTTTCTCAAATGGGGGTACGCGTACCCCTGGGGGTATGTAAAGAAACTCCAGGGGGTACATGAGAAAATGTACATTCATTAAAAGAAATAATATCCATGGAAAATCTTTTAAAAATAATTTAATGAATATTTTAGGAAAATATAAGTAAAAGTTCGTAAAATGTGTTTTATATTCAGTAGAAGTAAGCTAAATTCATTATCCCCAAATTCCCAGAGTCTCCCCCCATACCAGGATGGTTAACTCCAACCTGTCATATAACGCCTGGCATCACCAGTCAGTCACTTGGATCAGCGACGGGCACGTGGCTGAAGCGCAGCAGCAATTCTTTAGCAAACACGGAGGGACAAGTGGCCAAGAAGGCCAAACCAGAGCCGACAAAATTCTGGCTGTATCTTGAAGATTATGTTTTATTTGGATTTACTTCCACAAGTTGCAACCCACCCAAGGCACCGTGTTTTTTCTGTGGGGAGCATGGATCAAATTTTCACTTTTTTGGGGGGGGGGGGGTCTTTACAGTATGCTCTAATGGGAAACAGGCTTCAACACAAACAATTGTTTTCCGCTTGGTCCTAGAGCTCAACCAGTGTCAATTTAATAAAGCGTAATATTGTTTTTGGATGGTAAAAAGTGCAGGGGTCAAAACTTGACTTTGGAAAAAGTGGGGGGGACATGCCCCCCCGTCCCCCCATGGTGGGGAGAAATTAGCTAACGACACTGATCAGAGAAGCAGACTGTGTCTAGAAAAGAGCTTTATCACAGCAGTTGCCTCCCTGCCACCAAGGAAGAAAAAGATACTCAGTGAAGCCCAAGCCCAAGTGTCTCACTAAAAAGTCTGTAAGGTAAAAACACTCCGTTCAGTGCAGTAATGTTAAGATTTCAGTGTTCTTGTTGATTTTTAAAAATATATTTTGAGATTCACATTTTTTTTAGCAATTGTTGTTATTTAAAATGGCGTTAATGATTTATTTTAGAGAACAGATATACTATGATCCCAAAAGAGAACACTTTATGTT